TCGTCAGAATCTTCGAAATAATTCTCACTCGGAACGTGTTTATTATCCGCTTTAGAATATGTCCTCTGTTCTTTCTGCCGCCTCGATTCAGAGAATCTTGTTACCGCTACATCAGCTTCGGTTAAAGCTCTCTGTATTTGCGTTTCTTTTTCATCTTTGGACGTTCCGTGCAAATCCCCCGCGGTCTGCGATATTGTACGTTCAGCGACATACAATTTATCTTCGTAACTTTGCGATTCCTGCGTCGGACTCCCTTCAGATGTTTCTTTATTTAACTTGTCAAGCTCGATTTTTATTCCCGCGTCTAAGGGCCCGTCACCCTTCCCAGAGTTATCACCATCGATACGCGACTCGCTCGTCTCGTTGCTCGAACTTTGAGCTTGATTTTCTCGATTCAGAAGAAGCTTCAACACGGGATCCATCGCTTTCCTCTCACCTTCTTCGATACGTTCACCATTCCTTAACAAATTATTCTTATCTTCTGCAGCGTGTGCAATCGTCGACATCGTTGATTTATGATAGCCTCTGTAAATATCTAGCTCCGAATGTTCTTCATTCGTATCGTACTCTCGATCCAACGTCGTATCATTCGTATTCTCCACATTCGCGTTCTCTTGGACGTCTAATGGATCATTCTTGTGAGAGGGATCTACTTTTCCCTGTCTCTTGGCATCCACCTCGACGTCAGTCCTGTAGTCACTTCCGTTAAGTGACGTATCCACGATGCTATTTACAAATTCATCCTTCGCCGTTGCTTCTGAAGCTTCGTTCTCGACAGAAATGTCCTTAAACCTGTTCGGAATGCTCTCGGATGCTCTTTCCGTTCCATCGTCTCTCGATCTCTTCGCATCGTGAGCATTCTCCTCCTCTCTCCCGACAGTTTCTACTTTATCTATTGAATCTTCATTCGCTCTAAACGATTCCTCCTCGGGATCGAATTTTGACAGGCGTGCAGCACCCGAACGAGGCGTTTCACCGCCACTGGCTGTTTCTTTGTACGTCGAAGCAGCTTCAATCGGCGGCTGTTTAGCTCGTTCGTTATCAGTCCAATTAATAGGATGTGCCGCGGTTGTTCCGGGTAAACGAGGTTTAATTGTATTTTCACTCACGTCTGAGGAGTGAGCTTCGCTGGTTGTTTTGGTATTCAAAGCAGGCGAAGCACCCGTCCCGGGGAACACCTCGAGCACGTTGTTGTCGATTAATTGCCCCGGTGCAGATGACGTCGCGTGCTCGTCACACTCTTTCGCGTCGTTCCTCGTAATTTCGTCGGCCCCTCTCGGTCCTGTCTCGCTCGAATTCGAGTTGTTCGATGTTCCCTCCCGTCCCTTCATCGCCGATTCGTCGTTTCTCCCAACTACTTCGACGCTCAAGTCGGACAATGAAACTTTATTTACCGACGATGACTCTTCTCCCTCCTTCTTATTCACAGTCACCTCGATACTTGCGTCAGATCCTTTTTCCAACGCTTTCTCTCTGTTTGAATGCCGCGTAATCGATTCACTTTCGGCTAAAGGAGCTTCTCGTTCACCCTTATCGATGTACAGGCCGTTTGATCCACTGCTCTCTGTCGTCGCGGCTTCTTTCTGCGCGAGATCGATCCTTCGAGACAGCCCGATGATCTCTAACCACGGATTTGTCGAATCTTCCTCCTCGGTTCTGTTTATTTCCTCGTACGTAAAACGAGGATCGTCACGAGCGTTGTAGTAATTCCTAATCTCTTCGGAATTCTTCGCTGTTAACATTCTGGCGATGCTCAGAAGCGTCGATCGAAGATTATCACTTTCCAGCTTCTCATCCGTCACCGTGCCGGCCCCTTCCGTTTCGTTAACTCCGCTACTCGCAAGTGACAAATTACCAATCATTTTGGAATCGCCGTGTTTGAACGAACCATCGTCAGCCACGTTCCCTGCCCCCGTTGTTCCCTCTTTCTCCGATTCTTCCTCGGACGCTTGATTAATCGCAACTGATGATATATTACGCTCGCCGTAGGTAGCAGTATTATCGGAGAATTCAGAGCTCGGCGTAGAGAACGAGTCGGACGGTCGTCCCAAGTTTACGTCATTTGCCACTGTTTTACCTTCGTGTCGTTCTCTGCTCCCTGTCCCCGATCCCTTCGTTCTAATCGATTTCAATTCGTTGTTTAAATGTAATTTCAAAGTGTCATCGGCCCTCACTTTTGCACGAGGTTCATCTTTACTTTCGTACGAGATTGTCGATATTTTTTCTCGCGATATATTCCTCGCTTTGCCCTCTGCGCGCGTTCGTTTGTTCTCGCTGGGATCGGTGCCTCTTTGATTTTCAACCGACAGTTCCGTCGAAATATTAATATTTGAATCGAATATCGACGCGTTCGAAGGACGTTCTTCCTGCGCGTACTTTGCATTCGTGTACGCTTCAGTCTCTCGATATCCCACTGTCCCTTCCTCAATGTGTTTCTGATTGCTTTTATCAGAGTCAATACTTTCATGATCAGTCTTGGAGTAATTCCGATTCCTTTCACCAGGATCAACATTGTCGCGTCCCGTATATTTCTCGTCGCTTTCACCGGGATGAATACTTTCTTGATTTTCAATAAATAATCGAGTCGAGGGATCGATATACGAATTTAAGTTCGCAGATCCATTTTCTATTTTAACCACCGACGAATCAAGCACATTCTTCGCGTTTGTAAAAGTCTCGCCTTCTATCGATCTGTTTTCGACCGGATCAATGCCTCCGTGATTTTCTATTAACAATTCCACTTGGACATCGGTATTCGAATTCATTCTCGTCTCCGTACTATGTTCACTTTTCGCTCTTATTTCTGACGGATCAGACTCGTCTTTTGCATTCGCGAGTGTCCCACTTTTTCTGAATTCTCCTTCCTCTTCTCCGCGATCCTCGTTGCCTTCAGTAGTATCAGTACCTTTTTGATCAGACTTTAGGAACTTCTGACCACTTGCGTTCGAAACAACATCTTCGTGAACACTCTTGTTAACTTTGGTATTAATATTACGTGCACTTCCAAAGTTGTTGTCCTCA